GTGATTTCACAGAAAGTCGAGACTTCGCAATTTCGGCTACTTTACGTGATTTACTTACTTTTTCTCATTTCTTGCTTTTGTTAACCTCAAGCCTTCAAGTAAATTCAGGGCATGCTTTGGTCTAGTGGTCTGTGATTTTTTATGCGTCAGGAACGCAAATCAGGGAAAGCGTCGACTGCAAAAAATCACCGACGGGGGTGTAATCACATTCAGGGACATCCGTTGCAGTAATTTTAAATGAAAAAAAAACATTGTGCATTTATCGAGAACACTAAGTTATGATGCCTGCATAAGACTGCAGGTTTAATTGTAACATGCAGCATGGAGTTATGGCAAATGGGCGACGGGTATTATTGCAACTTAAATGGAGTAATAGTTATGGTTTTTGTTTAGAATAAATGCTAGTTTTACGTTGTTGTTCGTCGCCAAATCTCGCGCTTAGTGACCCAGTGCCGAAATTAATTGTCTGACGCGTGTCATTTCTTCCCAGTCCAGGACAAATACAAGACCTCTTGCCGAAAGCTTTAACTGTCTTTGTCGAGGGCTGCGGGACGTGGCAGAATGCACTTTTGATCGAAGCCACGAGTGGCCTTGATCTGATGGATCAAGAGGTGTTAACAAAGACGGAGCTGTCAGTGGGTGACGCCAATAGGGTGACCAACCGAAGTGACCTGATTGAATGGAGTGTACAAACTATGATGAATCCTAAATTTTGCATGGTAACAGATATTACCGTATTGAATTCGGCAAACTTATTAATAGAAATTTATTTTTACTCATATGGGCAACATGATGAGTCGCTGGTTTTATCATTTTTGATAGGTTGCTACAAAATTTTGCAGTCTTGATCCTCGTAATTACATTTTGGTAACAAATTTTTGCTCAATATAGCATGACCACCCTACCAGTATAAATTTGTTATCTAGATTATGCACGTTTATCATGCACATGTCTGATCGTAAGCGATCAGGGCGAACAACAAATCAAGGGCCGTCTTGTACACTTTACATGGCGAATCACGTAATCTGCTCACAACCTTAGTGCCAGTTTTCTGCATACGCATGATACGTCTGTGGGTCTTTCATTGGTTATCAAATTTGGAAGTTGTGCGGCAGTTTCCAGGAGTTCCATGACAAGCATATAAACAGTGAGAATCGCCAAAAAAGGAGTACAAATTCTACTTTTAATGGAGAGAGCAGCGAAAACGTTTATTAAAACTTTGATCATTCTGCTGCAAAGAAGTTGTGGGTCAAGTGACACGGAAATGTTCTCATCAGCTACTGTGACTGCCTTATTTTAAGCATGTTTACGCCTTAAACGTTTAGGGCTAAGAGGACCATTAAGACAAACATTCACTTAAAGCAGTTTTTTCACTATGACCGACTGCCATCATTACTCCAGATGCACGAATTAACCATAATTTAAATTTGCGCTAAACGGATTCTAAATCCAGTTAGTGGGACTCTCTCTCTCTCTCCCTCTCTCTCTCTTTTCGAGAGTTCTGCTCGCATGGAATTTTGCTCGCTGTTCACACCTCAGTTAATCAAAAAGCCCACCTGTTTATGGCCCTGGGTGCTGACCGTCACAGGGCTTTTCGGTAGAAATAAAAGTATGGAGGCAGTTGAGGTATGTGAAACTTTCCTCTCAATGAACAGGCAAAAAATCTGGTTTAAAGTAATCCGATAAACTGGCAACGTGGAGCAGGGGCTTTTTAGCGAGGAGTTCTATTTTTTAGCCTCCACGAAATCCTTAAATTAGGCGCCATGGTCTCTGGTCAATAATTTGAAGGTTGAGGGCAGTGTGAAATGTTAATGCAATGCAATGAGGTTTGTGTTGGCCTTGAGGTTTTAAACAAGCTCGAATGTAAGCCTTTTTACACAAATTAAATTAAATATGCCAGTGCTTTTCACTATAAAAGCTTGAAAGTGAGTATTTTATGATTGTTGCTGCCAGACCTGCAACGCTTAGTAGCGCTAAAGTAACAATGCTTAAACTTATTTCTCGAAATTAACAAATTAATGTTTAAATTTTATGTGATTTGTACTGGGACTTTGTCACCAACGTTTGGGCTCATGTTCTCCCTCAGTCCTTGAAATGATTCACTGCATTCCCATTTTACTTGTACCAAAAATGTGACTAACTGGGATTCATTATCAAAGTGACCAGTTCCTTTAAAATTGCGGTGGTCGTATGACTGACCTCGTCAAACGAAAAAAAAAACACATTTAAAAGCCGAAATTTTGGCATCTATCAGCTTTGTATCTTATGTTAATGGCTATTCTCCAAAATGACTTCCATTCTCTCCAATGATTCTAATTTAGACCAGCTGGCCTAATGACTCATCTAATCATTTACGTTCACCAATGAACCTCAATTTTGTACATATTTTTCAGTAAATTTTTCGGTTTGAATTTTGACCACCTAAAACTTTATGTGAATTTAGAATCAGTCACGTGACGTGGATTGCTTTATTAGCATGTATCGCATAGCACTTTCTTTCCACATATGGTAATTACTATGGGCCCATTTCCGAAATCCGCCACTTTAGCCTCACCAGTTTGAAAACTTCGGAATATAACAAGGGCAGCTACTTGCCTCAATGCCACTGAAGCATCCAGTTTGGAAAGTCTTTCGTTTTTTGATGTAAAATCTTAACTGCTTTCGTGCGCTTAAGGTGCTGTCTCGAACTCGCGCCACTACGCTCTATGGGACAGCGCAACGGTTGCTATGGTAATTCTCTTGGAGGTACCAAATGATGCAAAGTGAGGGGAAGCAAGACTATAGCAACGAAATTTTTTCTCACACCTTCAAACTAGCGATTCAATTTGAGAGTTCTGACCATGAATTCTTCGGAAAACACCTTTTTGTAGCATCTCGTTCAAGATAAGTTGGGAGCTAATAGTAATTTAGCACTTTAATCAATCATGCGTAATCAGTTACCAAAGGTCGCATTGCATAAAGGTAGAAACTTGGTACCGTGGCCACGAATAGTCTGAATTAGACAACATAAAAAATTATGTTCTCTTTTACTGTTTCGCCAGGCAATAAATACCGATCATTTTCGTCAGAAAACACAATCCTTACTGCGTGTTGTAGCTATAGTGGCCTGGTGTGTTTTGGATAAAAATCGATTTCTGACCTGCCGAACAATCAATTTCTAGCTGTTTTTACCTTAAAAATCATGTTCTTGTGTCTGTCAAACACCCATTGCAACTTCTTTGAATGTACTTTATTAATTTAAGACGGTCTAATTTATCCAAAAGTAAGCAAGTCACATTAATTTCTTAATTCTGCACGTATTTTCCAAAGATTAAATACTTTTGCTTAAAATTTACTTTTTTGGTAATGTCTGCTGCACAAATACTTTTTTTATAATCTCAGTCACCTTGTGAATGGAAAACGCTCACTTCGTCTCACGGGCATTCTTGTGGAGGGCGAAGGGAAATTTAATCCTCACTTTATCAGCCTTAAGTTTGGATCTGTCTATGTCCATTAAACCTCGGTGTTACCATTACTAATAGGAGTCGGAATATGCCCGATTCATTTAAAACGAGTAAAAATAGCAACTGCAGTTAAATGTTCAAGTTACGATAAGTTTTCATTGCAGTGTTTTAAACAAAAAAGATAAATTACTAACCAAATTTAAAAGCCGTTTCCACCCATGACCATGTTTAGCTAAAAGAAGTTAATATTAACGTTTCTTGGTACAAACGTTCAAAGCATCGGTCAGCAAGGAATTAAAGCTAGTTAAAGAGCCTGGAGTATAAACAGTGCAGGCTAGAGTTTAAAAATTGTCCGACTTTTATTTGAACAATACAAAACACACATTTTCCTAAAAGAATTAAAAGTGTTGTTAAGTAAGATCGTAGAATGCAGACACAAGGAATTTTAATATTTGTGTAGCAAACAGTTTCAGTGTCGAGGCGGTACAATTATGCCCCCCTAGTGTTTTAAAAATAGTGCAATAAAATGAGGTGTCACAAACAATGAGATTGCGTTTAGAATTTAAAATTTGCAGTTTCGGATTTAAATTTTGGACCATTTGTCAGGTCGGCAAAATTTACTCAGCTCCATCACAACTCAACGCATCTCGATTAGTGCTCTTTATTTTAATTTGCACACTACGATGCAAGTGTTAATGGTGCTTGGAACAAAACGACCATTCACATTTCCCGATGCATTTAAGTTTGAAATAGTGTTAAGAATTTTACTTGATGTTTAAATGTGTCACATCTAAGAACTGCGTTGGCACTAAGGTTGGAATATTTTTGTGAACACAGACCTCAACACTTGACTCCCTAAACATCAAAAAGGTAGGAATTTCATTTTTTTCGATTGCCATCTGCCTTCTAGTCCATTTATTGGATGTTTTGGTGGTAATCTTACAAGTATTTATTTATGAAAAATTAAACTACTCAGGTAGACATAGAAGATTCAGCCTTCTCTTTGGCTCTTTAAAAAAACTTAGACAAATTCGCATAAACGTATTAAACCACAATGTTTCCGGACGCAATAGTAACCTGTTTACTGTTATTACTACCTTGTTTTTCAGCAGTCTAGGTATTTACAGTAGGACATCACCTTGTGTTAAACTATGACCAACTTTATCTGTGTGTGAAAAAAATTTGGCAGCTAAGTCACTTTGTAACAAATTCACAGATATTCAAAATAAAAACATGTTTGCAAAACCACAGTAAAAATTATGCATTTTGCGACATTTAGACATTCATAAGTGTGTCCAAAATTTTTCAACTTATGTTATCGGAAGACAAAATGATAGTACCGCCTTCTCGCTAAAAGCAAATTCATTATTCTCATTTATAGATAATAGTTGTTTTGGTAACTACCGTGGGAATAACGTGGGAATTAGAGACTCTCTGAAACCTAATTTTAAATATGCAAAATATTAAAATTTTGTGATTGTTCCTTGCATGAAAAATTTTGAAGTTGTTACACAAACATTGTATTATACTCACCAGAAAATATCTTGTAGACAATTATTAACACCGGCGTCTTTTCAAAAGCATGCGAAAAGAATGTCGAAAACGGGCACTAAAAAGGGAATAGAGGAAAAAATTCATCGCTGCGTTCAACATCAGAAGAAGGTTTGAGACATTCCCGCAGATCTTTAGTCGAACATCCGATGGTTTGAACCATGTCCTGATAATGTGGATAACTGCGCTTGGGGCACTGAGGACGCAGAAGACCACGACGACCGCGATCAGCATGATAGTGATGGACTGTTTGTCTTGATGAGAAGACAAGCGTAGCAAGGAATTATCGATCTTTTGATGTGGATTCCGCTTTCTGCAACGACAGCAACGCGTCTTCGCGCGAGACTGGCTTTCACAAGGTACGGGGGTGAATACTTCGCTTGTTGTGTCGCAGACACCCTTAGTGGTCTCGGTGGTGGATGCATTTTCGGTGGAATGTGTCTCTTTGTGAGATTTTGAGTACTTTAGTGGTCCTGTGGTGTTTTCCCGTGATGAGTGTTGCCGCTCGAATTGTCGAGTAATCCACCATTTGCGCCAAACGAGCTCACTGCGAATTGGCTCAGATCTCTCCATCGGTTCCAGCTGTACGTTTCTGTCAAACTTGAGTTGGGCTAAATTTGCCAACATCTTGTCTCGCTCATGGTGGGCCTGGATTACTGATTTTATCAAGAGGGCGTTGAAAATAGCCAATATAATTAATGGAATGAAGACAAAGAGAGCCACGTTTGCATATGACCAACCGAACCTGTCGAGTTGCTCGCCAATCCAAGTAGGCTCAAAGGCATAGAAAACCTCCACGCATTTGTCCTCGGGTCCGGATGGGGGTGTCCTTTGCCTCAAGTCATGGTAACAAGTCCTCCAAGCCTCGTGTATTTTCCGCTCAAAGAAATCGGGCAGAGTTATAAGGGCGGTGATGAGGCTTACAAAGACAATATTGAACCGGGTTCGTCTGATGGAGCTATTCTTCCGTGATCGAATCGGCGTCGAAATGGCGATAAATCGCTCAATCGTGAAAGCGCAGGTCAACCAGGTGGTTATGTTGCTCCACATATTTCCAAGCGGTAGAATGTAAGTTAAGGCGTTCATGTAGGTGGCGGACATTTCAAGTGAGGCGTACGTGCGTAATGTCAGAGGTAGGCCTGTGAGACTGTACAGGAGATCGTAAACGGCCACTGCACACAGATAACAGGAAGTGGAAGATCTCATTGTGGTTGTTGTCAGCACGACAATATTCAGAACATTACCTGCGATCCCCACAAAACTGACGATTGGCATCAGTATTTGTGTGCAGATGAGACGGGCCATCAGCAAATCCATGTCATTCTCTTCGACAGGGTTTCGGGCTTCTTCAACGGGGAAAAGCAATGCACCCGTTGACGATGGTAGGGAAATCGTTGTGCCTGATTCATTTGGCATGAATGCACGTCATTGACATGATTTTGTGAAAAACGGCCTATTCATTCTAGAGACTAAGATTGCGTCTCCAAAGCTGTTGCACAACGCTCTTATTGGTTGGTGCACAGCCAATTACGGCAGACTGGTCCGGCCACATATTTGTATGAATATGACTGCTAATAACCAAATTGGATTCCTGGCAAATTCATGTTTTTGTCGCATCGACCAGCAAAGATCTCATGGATGAGACGTCTTCAGTTGCCTCTTTTACTATTTCTGCCCGCTAAAAAGGGTAGGAAGTTCAGCAGATTGTTTGTACAGTGTGCTCAATTTACATGTGCTGTAAACATCGAGCAGAGTTCAAGAATTTGCTGAATTCTTGAAAGAATTATCCTCAATAAGGAATGCGACACTAGAGACCATGCGTAGCTATCGACTACTTTTTGTCCAAAATGTCTATTTTAGGCTCTAGTGTGTTTTTGTTCAATGATTTGGATCTGACCTTTTAGAATTCATAAACCCGATGTGTCTTCATTTTAAATGTCATACAATGCGAAAGCCAAATATTCTGTTGATGACTTAAGTGCAAACGCAAGTAATGACTGATTATATTGAAGAAGAAAGATGTTGAAACTAAAGTGTTTAGTTACTGGTTTTTCTACAAGTTTTTCAGCACCTTTTACTGGCATCAATTTCTAGAAGTGAAACAAAATGTGATGTGTGCATTAGCCACATGAATAATGACAGAAAGTGTTTTAAGATACCCATACCATAAATTTTATGCGTTTCTAGTAAAGTTGATGAAATGCAAACCATCATATTGAAAGGTGTTTTACTGAGTTGGAATTTAAAGAACAGATTGAGTGAGGTATCGATATCATGGTCAAATCTTCTTTTACTAATTTTGTCTAACGGCTTCACCATTACACATCACAGGACGAATTTCACATTCGAGGGGCAATTTTTGCAAAAATAACGGCTTCTGAACTACCGAAAGTAAAGTTAATTACTATGTCATTTAATCGCCTTCACACTACGGTACATTTCAAACTGTAAGCACTATTATGAAGCATTTAATTTTAAAGCATTTCGGTAGTTCTTCCAGACCAAATTCCTAAGAAGAGTTTAAGTGTAGAGAAATTTTGAGGCGCCTTCGTGTGCGTTCATTTGCTACCAACAGCTTGCCTAAAACTCACGGCTAACTAAAGTCAACGAGAACAGAAATTTTGTCATTATTTACAATTCTGTCACTCCCTACCGCCCGCAGAACCGTGAGGACGAGGGTTGCTAAAGGGTATATTTTATAACATGATCTTCAACGTGGCCTCTGTACAAGGCAGATGTCAAGGCCTTAAGATGCCAGCCAATAAATGCTCAATCATTTTACACCCGTGTCCACTTGACCATCGATCGCCAACAGGGGCTAGTCGTCTTGGATTGGCCATGAGGAGTGTTTTTAATTCAAAGGGGTCAGCGTTGGTTACATTTGAATTGATACCGTTGCAGTTCAAATCATACTTTAACGAATTATGGAAGCACCTGCAAAAGTGTACTCTTCTCTTGTACAATAAAAAACGTGTATTTTAAAGGAAATTTTTCTGCAGTTTTGACAAGGCGGAGGTTTGAAACCTGTTGCCTGAAAACCACGGAAAATGACACCATGTACTTTTAACTGGCTTGGATTTCGTTTACTATTTGGGTTTTCTTATGAATAGGGTTATTTTAAGTTCACGAGGAATTCGTCAAAGCATTTTTTTGGAATTTTAGAGTACTGCTCTTGACGCTAAATCCAATACTGAACTTTAAAACCAGGGCTTTCTTCAGACGTAAGAATTCTCCACTTGAGTGATTTCTGAAATTCCGCCCTTCATAAGTGATTGGCTTGAAGCCAACTAATCACATGGACAAATTAGTTTTCAGCTACTTTGATTACTCAAACTATTTTATTGGTGAGAATTAAAACAACTACGACAGGTGCACCAGTGAACAGAGGCTCTAATTATACCATTTTTCAGGGTTTCTTTGGACATTAAACTTAGACTAGACAATCTTCTTGCATTACTTAAGATTCAGATAAAATTTTTATTAAATGAGACCTCCTGCTGTTGTTTTATAACAGAAAACCAGGCTTCGATTTCCAGAAACTGTGTTTTAGAAGCTCCATTTCTCTATCAAGTTTACTTACCGGTGGCGTGAGAACGGGTTTAGGGCCTTAAACGGCCATATATCTTATTTAAAAAGCTTTTTTATTCGTGCATTTTATATTTGCAATTATTAAAAGTAAGGTAGGGATCTGTCGGAACATCCACTCGTGCTACTACTTATTAAAAACTTTAAATTTATTGCGCACGCTTCCTTTGTATCACTTTACCTTGAAGACATTATTTACCTTTTCATCAGTACTTGCTGAGTGAGCCACTTCGTTAAACATGATAGCGGAAAAATACTGCTTCAACGACCCTTTTCATTTGCTAAAACACCTTTATTTCATTAGTTGTATGACTTGAATTGCAAAGATTTCTCAGCAAATTTAGTTAATTTAAAAATATAAAGAACAAAGAAATTAAGCGTGGTAATGTTATTCATTGTTTTTTAGGACATTGTGCCATTCCTCAGGACACGCACGAATGCTGTTGCGAAAGAAACTTACAGGCCTCGAGGCAATAAGGTCATTATCAAGGAATTTACCCACATCGCCCAGCATTTTGAACTGTTGATTCACTAAGGCGCGCTGCGGTATTGATTAAAACAAATAATAGTCGAATGGGGCCAAGTCTTGTGTGGGAGATCTTCCCATCTGAGTCGTAGCATCATGACTTGCCTGCTTCCTTGCCCAGTAAATGTCCTTTTCCCATCACGTTCTACGCCCAGTTTAATTTTCTGTTTTGGCATTCCGCAGTCACCGTCCGCAGTCACAATCTGACAATCCTTCATGTCCCACCAGATACATAGGAGAACCTTCTTCAATTAGATGTCCTGTTTCCTCGTCGATGTACTAGGTTGCTGCTCGGGATCTACCCACAACACCCCTTTGCCTTTTTTCATCAGCGGCCTGAGGTTATGATCAACGAGACTCAACTTCCGAGTCTTCAAAGATATTTATACCAATAACTACACGTTTCATAAGAGTAAACGTCTGCCTTAAGAACACAAAAAATTGATTCCCCTCGTACTTTAGAAGCTGTTTTGTCCTGTTTTTATTGAATGTGCTGTTTATCAGTTGCCATCGTCGTAAACTCTGCTATTTTGAGAGGTTATGCAACTCACGTAGACTTGCCGTTCAGTGTTTTTAACCCTTGTGTACGATCCTTTCAAAACCGCAAGGTACACAAATAACATTTTTAGTTTAACTACAATTTTAAGCTTGAAGAAAACATCTGTGAAAATTGTGTCACAAACCTGATCTTATTCTGATCGCTTTTTGAAAATACATCTTGGAGGCAAGAATGCTTTCTCCTGTACCGCAGTAAACCTCAATCAAAGCTAACCCAAATTGTTTTCCGACGTTAACTATTTATGATCCAATTGAGATTGTTGGCAGCCATTGTTCAATTTATAACGTTTATTTTGACTTTCACTCCGAGTTACTGCCCAATCGAAGACCTCTTTTACTTGTGTATTAATTATTCGGAGATGTCAGCTACGTGATTAGGCTTAGCCTAGCGGAACGCCGAGCCGCAGGCCTTATGTAGCCTAACATGAGAAAAATTGCGTTTCCTGCAGGTAGCATAAATTGTTGGCCGTCTCTTTTTCACAGCGTCAGTTGGTTCTTCCTCCCTTCCTGATGTCTTCTTCCTCCATTGGAGGGTTTCAGATGGAATGAAATTGCACCAACCCACCACATTGTCACCATGCTCTCATTACCCTAACAGGCTTAATAATAATCCCAATGTTGACGTGATTTGTAAATGGAACCGAATATTTTTTTTAATTAAAGCGTGGCTTAGGAAGATAATAGTTAAAAAAGACCATCCATTCAAAACAAGTTATCCAATTTTTGCTTAATCTCGTTTTATTATGGCTAATCTTGTAAGCAGTGGAAATTAATACCTTCTTCAGAACAGTCCACACCCCTCCTTCCCTAACCCAACCTCGCATGGTCGCTGTCATGACTAATTACAGCCCATTATACTTGGGCCAAATGGTTGATTCTCTCTGCCCACGTTGTAGCCAAACTGCGGTTAGCGTCACCCGAGTGAAGAGAGAGGGTTAGAGACAATGGGGCAAATAATTTATTTAAAGGCTCAATCACAATGTTTACCACCCAGGAACGCGACAGATTGTAAATCACGAACGTTTGTTGTTGGTCTTTGCAGACAAGAGCAGGCTACCAGATTAGACAATTATACAGTGTGGGTAGGACGGTCAGGTGGACAACGTGAGCAAGCGCCAATCACTACGTCAAACCCCGATCTTACTATTTTCTAAACAAATGAGCGATGTCACATTTAGGAGCTATTGTCTAAAGAACAAAATGAAGTAGGAACGCCGAGTAATTGTCTTCTCCCCAACTCCCCTCGCCAGTTCCCCAATTTTGTCTTTCATTATGATGGGAGTTTTGTGACAGTAAGTACAGCAGTCATCATTAAATGTATACAGCTGCGGCAACGATTCCTTTGAGTGACGATTCTGCCACAATCAAAATAACCGCACTACTCTTAGATGTGATTTTGCATTCAAGCAAATACAATCGTTACAGTTGAATCGAAATTTACACAGGGGTCTGCATCATTTACCTTTTAAAACCTAAATTAGTTCACACTCAAAAGAAAACTTAATTGTAACATTTTTGTTATGGTTTAATTTAATTTACTGCAAAATGGCCAGTTTGAAGTATCGATTACTTGAGGCTTCGTATTATTTCAACTTGTCTAATTTCGTGTGCAACTAGTAAGTATCCACTTCGAAATGAGGCCTTCTAAAGATCTTTAAGTTTTCCTTGAATATCTCATTTTGTTGTAGAATAGTATTAGAAATGTCACTTACAATTACTAGTGCAATGTTCTGAAAGCCGGCATCTG